CTCATGATGATGATGGTGCCCCAATGATGATGATGTTGTTGATGATGATGATGTCGATGATGATGATGATGCGATGATCATGATGATGATGGTGTCCCGAGGATGATGACGATGTTGATGATAATGTTGATGATGAGAACGATGGTGATCATGATGGTGTCCCGATTATGATGATGATTCTGATGATGCTGCTGATGATGATGACGATGACTGTGTCCCGATGATGATGAGGATGATGATGTTGATGATGAGATGATGATGGTGATGATGATGATGAAGATGATGATGATGATGATGATGATGATGATGATGTCTCGATGATGATGCTGACGTTGATGATGATGGTTATGATGATGATGATGATGATGACGGTGCCCTTATGATGATGACGATGTTGGTGATGATGTTGATGTTGATGATGTTGATGATGATGATGATGATGATGATGATGATGATGATGACGTTGATTGTGAGAGCGATTGTGATATCGATAGTGGGATCGATATTGAGACCGAATGTGAGATCGATTGTGAGATCAATTGTGAGATCGATCGAATGAGATAGATCGAGTGAGATCGATTGTGAGATCGATCGTGTGAGGTCGATCGAGCGAGACCGATAGTGAGATCGATACTGAGATCGATAGTGAGACCGATCGAGTGAAACGTTGGTTCCCCCCCCCGAACCTCCTTATCACCCGAAGGGTGGTCGTATAGGTACGGCTATAGGGCTATAGGGTTATAGTGCTATAGGGATATATGGCGATTGGGCTGTTGGGCTATAGGGATATAGGGCTATTGGGCTAGGCACCCCCGGGCACTTCTGGGCACCCCGGGCACCCGGGCACCCCTGGGCACCCGGGCACCCCCGGGCACCCCCGGGCACCCGGGCACCCGGGCCCCGGCCGCCGAAATCGGCCACACACCTGGGCACCCGGGCACCCCCGGGAACCCCCGGGCACCCGGGCACCCGGCCCCGGCCACCGAAATCGGCCGCCCACCTCACCTCATCTTTATATCCGCTAGGACCCCTACAGAGGCAAGCTCTGTCCGCCGTCCTGCATTTCGGTTCGCCCCCGAGGCTCGCTGTGTCCGCCGTCCTATATTTCACTTCGCTCCTGAGCAAGACTAGCCAAGACCAACCAGACCAGACCAACCAGACCAAGCCAATGAACGAGACCAGACCAACCAAACAATACCTAGGCGAAGACTCCAAGACGAAGCTCAACCCAGATCGACTAGACCAGCCTGACCAGATGCAAAAAACAACTGCAATGCAAAACAACAGCAAAGCAAAACAAATGCAACGCAATCAAAATGTATTTCGATCGTCGTGGTGATTGGCGCTGCCTCGCCGGACCTCCCGTAAACCGCTCGCGCCCGGATCCTAAGCTACGGCTGCAAGACGAAGTTCAAACCAGACCACCCAGACCAGCCAGACCAGATGCAACAAAAATTGCAATGCAAAAAAACTGCAAAACAAAACAGACAGCAACGCAAAAAACTGCATTTCGGTACTCGTCGTTGTGGTTGGTGCTGCCTTGCCGGATCCCCCTTAAACCACTCGCCCGGATCCAAAGGTAAGGCTGCAAGTCGAAACTCAAACCAAACCAACCAGACCAGCCAGACCAGATGCAACAACAAATTACAATGAAAAACAAATGCAAAGCAACAAAAAGCTGCAATGCAAAAAAGTGCATCCCGGTCGTTGTCGAGGTGGTCGGTGTTGCCTCGCCGGATCTCCCCCAAACCATTCTCGCCCAGATCCGAAGGTAAGGTTGCAAGAAGAAGTTCAAACCAGACCAACCGGACCAGCCAGACCAGATGCGAAAAAAAATTGCAATGCAACACCAAATGGCAAAGCAACAAATCACTGAAATGCAACAAACAACTGCATTTCGGTCGTGGTGGTGGTTGGCACTGACTCGCCGGACCTCCTCTAAACTACTCTCGCCCAGATCCTAAGCCAAAACAAATTGCAATGCAAAACAAATTCTTGACGCTTCGCGTATCCCCACCAGCCCATCCTACACCAGGCACTCGAACGAAGAGCGCCGATGATCGGCAGCTGTTCTCCTCCCCTCTTCCTCCTTCTCCTCCGCCTTCTCCTCCTCCTCCTCTCCTCGTCCTCCCTCTCCTCCTCCTCCTCCTCCTCCTCCTCCTCCGCCTCCGCCTCTTCCTCCTCCCTGGTGGCGTATTGGAAGTGTCTTCGGACGTTTTGGTGGGCTCTTGGGCCTTGCGGGCGGGCGGGCGGCGCTCCGCCCGCCCGCGCGCAGAGCCCAAGAGGGGGTCCAAGACGTCTTTTGGAACAATCTTGGAGGAGATCGATCAACGAAGGGGGGGTCCCTAATTACAGCCCCCCCCTCAGGAGCCACGATCCTCGTGAGGGGTGTCGAATTTTAGCCCTCCCAGGGGTCGATCTTGGGCGCTCCAACGCGCCGCGGAACCCCCTGTCCAGGTCAGTGGGGAGGGGGTAGGGGGAGGGGTAAACCCCTCCCCGAAGGGGAAGAAGGAGGGGTGGAAGAGGAAACGCTCTAAACCACCGACGCCCAGAGGGCTGGTGGGATTACAAAGCAAAAAACTGCAATGCAACAAAACAATGCATTTCGGTCGTCGTCGTGGTGGTCGGCGCTGCCTCGCCGGATCAACCCTAAACCATTCTCGCACAGATCCTAAGCTAAGGCTGCAAGACGAAGCTCAAGCCAGACCAACCAGACCAGCCAGACCAGATGCAAAAGACTGCAATGTAGAACATCTTGCGAAGCAGCAAGAAGCTGCAATGTAACACAACTGCATTTCGGTCGTGGTGGTGGTTGGCGCTACCTCGCCGGACCTCCCCTAAACCACTCTCGCCCGGATCCTAAGCCAAGGCTGCACGACGAAGCTCAAAACAGACCAATTTGGCCAAGCTGACCAGATCCAGACTTGCTCTTTGTAAGCTTGGCGTCCCACCGTGTGCTACACGGCTAAGATCTTTATGATTTGTATTCTTTGTCCGAGTACTATGATTCTAAGTGTTCTTGCGAGCATTATCGTTGCTATGTGTATTGTTATTTCTAATTTTGGTATTTGTATCAAGGTCATAAAAACCGCCCCTACCCAGGTTTACGAGGCGCTGTGCGCTGAAACTCCTGTGGGCTGGCAGGGTAAAGCCTGCGTGATGTGCCGCGTCCTGGCGGCTCTAGGCTTTTGGGGTTCCCAGCAGGTTTACTGTAAACCTCCTGGGAACCCCAAAAGCCTAGAGCGTGGTCTGTAATACAGACCACGCGCTTGTAACCCAGGGTAGGGTCGTTTTTTCCATCCCTCAATTATATGCGCATTCGTATTATTATCATTATTATCGTTATTATTATTATTAGTATGATTATTATGATTATTATGATTATTAGTATTATTATTATTATGATATGATTTTATTATTATTATTATCAGTATTATTATACTTTTTATTATTATCAGTATCATTAGTATTATTATTATTATTATATTATTATATTATGATTATTATTAGTAGTAGTAGTAGTATTATTATCATTATTATTATTATTCGTATTAATTTTTGTTATTAATATTTATTAGTATTCCTCTTCGTCTTCGTGCTCACCGCGGGCGCGGCCCCGCGCCGAGCCGGAGAGCCCCGCGGGGCACGCGCCCTGCCCGCGCGGCGGCCCCCCTTCTTGGAGGCCTCCGAGGCGTCACGCCCGGGGCAGCCTGGGAGCGGGGTCGTCCTCTCCTCCTCCTCCTCCTCCTCCTCCTCCTCCTCCTCCTCCTCCTCCTCCTCTCTCCTCCTCCTCCTCCTCCTCCTCCTCCCTCCTCCTCCTCCTCCTCCTCCTCCTCCTCCTCCTCCTCCTCTCTTGTCTCCTCCTCCTCCTCCTCCTCCTCCTTCCCTTTTCTGCATCACGAGGGCGCGGTTGTCACGATAGCCCTCTTGAAGGGCAGCGGATTCCTCCTTCTCCTCTGCCCCTTTGCCGTTGCAACAAAAAAAGCAGTCGGAGCGGGGTCGTCCACGCGGCGCGGCACCGCTCGGACGTCGGGCGCCCGCCCACCAAGCCACCCCAGCTAGGGGGCCACACGCGAACCCCACCCCTACCCCCCACGACTTCTGGGGGGGAGGGTGAGGAGGAGGAGGAGGAGGAGGAGGAGGAGGAGGAGGAGGAGGTCCACTTCGCTCGGTAGCTCCCGAGCGAAGAGTGAACCCCACCCTCCCCCCCAGAAATCATGGGGGGCAGGGGTAGGGTTCGCATGTGGCCCCCCAGACTGGAGCAGCGTCGGATCGGGGTCGTCCACGAGGCGCGGCACCGCTCGGACATCAGGCGCCGCCCACCAAGCCACCCGACCCCAACCCAACCCGAAGGCCTCGAGTAGCCCTCCATTTCCGGTGTGGTGGGGTCGAGGGACACTGAAAAACACACATTTGGAACTCATGCCCCCCCGAACCCGAAATGCGCGTCTTCGGGTCGGGTGGGGGTGATCTGGTAGGTAGTCACTCGGCAAGGACCAGTGAGGAGCGTGTTGGGTCACCTTGCAGAAATGTGCACGCACGAAACCGAGAAATGCACGGGGAATGGGCGTCCGAGCGATGGCCAGGGGGCAGGGTGATGACCAGTCGCATCCACAGACTATGAATGTGAGAGTGCCCACTAATTTCGGAGATGGCAGTGTCGGCGTTTTGGGGAACGCGCCGAGTTGGGCCAGAGCGGGGGTCCTGTAGGGGCCCCCAAACCTTCGTGGTCCCCGCTCCCGCTGCTGCGAAAAAAAGCGCCGACGTCGAGACTGTGGGTTCGCGTTCACTTTGGTCGCGGCGTCCGGCGAACGGCTCCTTCTCCTCCTCCTCCGCCTCGTCCTCCTCCTCCGCCTCGTCCTCCTCCTCCTCCGCCTCCTCCGCCTCCTCCTCCTCCTCCTCCTTCTCCTCCTCCTCCGCCTCCGCCTCCTCCTCCTCCTCCGCCTCCTCCTCCCCCTCCTCCTCCTCCGCCCCTGGTGCGCCCCGCCCCGCCGCGCGAGGAGAGCGCCCGAGGCATCCGCGCCCGGCTCGCCCACTGCCTGCTGACGCTGACCCTGGAGCCGCGCCGGCCGCGGGCCCCCCCCGCCCCGGCAGCGCTCCTCCTGCGGGCGGCCGTGTCGTCGTCGCCGTCGTCGTTTCCGCCGCCGCCCTCCGTCGTCGTCGTCGTCGTCGTCGTCGTCGTCGTCGTCGTCGTCGTCGTCGTCGTCGTCGTCGTCGTCGCGCGCGGCCCCGGCGCCGGCGTTGGGGTCGTTTTCGCCGCCGTCGTCGTTGAAGGCAGAGGCTTGGGGCCTGGTTGATGAGGAGAAGGAGGGAGGACCAGTGTATACCCAGGACGCACCAACGATCTTGCAGCAATTCCTCTCTGCAAGTTCCCTGCAAGGATGCATTCTCTCTGCGGGACGTGCCCCATCAGAAGACAAAGGTTTGGAAATCTTCAATTGTGCAGAAGCACCAATCCTGGGAATCCAACGCCGCGAGTCAAGGTGACTATTACGTCCCGACAATCTCCAATCGTTCCAGAAAACCGTTCCGTAGACTTTAACACGAAAGTTTATGTTGCGTTCTAGCGATCCCAAATCGTGCGATAGCACTACTCCTTGGTCTTCAATATGAGCGTTTGAAACGTGTTGCGAATTTGTACAATGGATGCGCACGGCGCCAACGTGAGAGCCACATGTTGGAAAGCACCCGCCATCCATGTATGAAGCTGCTGCAGACTTTTGAGAAGAATGTGCGGGACGCCACGGCGAGAGCCACATTTTGAATATGGGCAGCCCTCCATCCCTGAAGATGTTGAAATATTTTGAACGAATACGCGCGGCGCTAGGGCGAGAGCCACATGTTGAAAGCCATCCGGCCTCCATCCTTGACGCTGTTGCTAGCCCACGTTTCAAGGGTCATGAGTGGTGAGGAACTTAGACGGAACGCCCGCTCCCGCCCTACCAACTCGCCTGGGGGTGCGACAGGGAGGAGTTTGTCATACGGAACCAAGATGGAGGAGGATGAGGAGGAGAAAGAGGGACGAGGAGGTGGAGGAGGTGGAGGAGGAGGAGCGGGAGGGACCAAGATGGAAGAGGATGAGGAGGAGAAAGAGGGACGAGGAGGAGGAGGAGGAGGAGGAGGAGGAGCAGGAGGAGGAGCAGGAGGAGCGGGAGGGGGAGGGGGATGAGGGAGGGAGGAGAGAGGAGGTGAAGGATTTTGTAGAATGGACAATGCCCGAGGAATGACGAAGGCAGGCGACGCAGTGGACCATACGTGGTCCCACTGCTTACGCCACCGCTGAGTGACCCCATTGGTCCTAGGGGTGCTTGATGATTCTGGACTTCCATACAACTCGAGACTATTGCGGGAACGCTCGGTTGCATTGCACGTCTAGTGATGCCAGAGGGCCAGAGGTCGAAACATCTATGATAAAACTACACAGATTAAATGAGGAGAGTCATCATTGCACTGGAAGTTCAACAACCTATGCCCTTTGACGGCAGTGGCGTTGAGACTTGGAAGGGGCTCTGCCTTTTGCACCCCTCGCCTGGGGGTTTCGACAACTTACCGAACACCCTGGTGAACGAACTCGCTTCCTTATTTTGGAGGCAAGCACTGCAGCACCTTTTTGTGACCTGCATACAATTCTTTACGCTTCGCGTATCCCCACCAGCCCATCTCACAGCAGCAACTCTTGCGAAGCATGCCGACAGTCGTGTTTTTCAGGCGTGTGTCCGCTTGGCCCCGCATATCTCCCCTGTTCCTCCTTCCTCCCGCCTCCTTGTACATCCTCCTTGTGGGGGGAGCGGGAGAAGGACGAGGCGGAGGAGGAGGGAGAGAAAGCGCTCCTCGTGATTTGAGTCGTTTGGGGTTTCTCGTCCTGGTGTGAGTCGTTCGGGCCCTTCTTCCTGGTGTGAGTCGTTCGGGCTCTTCGTGGTGTGAGTCGTTCGGGCTCTTCGTCCTGGTGTGAGTCGTTCGGGCTTCTCGTGGTGTGAGTTGTTCGGGCCCCTCATCCTGGTGTGAGTCGTTCGGGCCCCTCCTCCTGGTGTGACTCGTTCGGGCTCCTCGTGGTGTGAGTCGTTCGGGGCCCGCGTCGTGGTGTGAGTCGTTCGGGCTCCTCGTGGTGTGAGTCGTTCGGGCGCCTCGTCCTGGTGTGAGTCGTTCGGGCCCCTCCTTGTGGTGTGAGTCGTTCGGGCTCTTCGTGGTGTGAGTCGTTCGGGCCCCTCGTCCTGGTGTGAGTCGTTCGGGCTCCTCGTGGGGCCTCTTGGGGGCCTCTTGGAGCCTCTTGGGGCCTCTTGGGGGCCTCTTGGGGGCCTCTTGGGGGCCTCTTGGGGGCCTCTTGGGCCTCTTGGGGGCCTCTTGGGGGCCTCTTGGGGGCCTCTTGGGGCCTCTTGGGGGCCTCTTGGGGGCCTCTTGGAGGCCTCTTGGGAGCCTCCTGGGGGCCTCTTGGGGCCATCTTGGGGCCTCTTGCGACCTCCTCAGAAGCGCAAATGAGCGCTGCCCCCTGAGAAGGACAAAATGAGCCCAAAACCTTCGTAAAATCAATGATTTTGCGATGAAGGAAGATGAGCGCGGCCCCCTCAGAAGGCCAAAATGGGGCCAAAACCGTAGTAACATCAATGATTTTGGCTTCAAAGAAGAGGAGAGGGTTTTTTCTCCCTCCCCCCGTCGGGGCCAGAATCCTCGTGAGGGGCGTCGTTTTTTAGCCCTCCCAGGAGTCGAAAAAGACCCCTCCAACGACCCGCGGGCCGCCCTCTCCAGGCCCAGGGGAAGGGGGTAGGGGGAGGGGTAAACCCCTCCCCGAAGGGGAAGAAGGGGGGTTGAGAACAGAGAGAGCTCCCTAAACCACTCACGCCCAAAGGGCTGGTGGGACTCCCACTCGTGCAATGCTTTGCCCTCGGGGGCCCTGGACCTGGGGACGGGGGCTCTCGGCACCCGGCGGCCAGAGTGCACGTGGCCTCTTACACTTGTACCCGTCTGCTCACCTCTCGCTGCTCCGCCGCAGAGCCTCCAGGGTGAGCAGACGGGCCAGACTTCGCAGCACGATGTGTTGCGTCGCTGCCTGCTTTGACATAAATACTGCAGCTCCTCTGAAAGAGTGGAGTCTTCGGCCACATGCGCCTTAACCTTCTTGAGTTCGGTTAAATGAGGCGCCGATGTGAGGATCATTGTCTCCGAGTACATTTATGTGTGCGAAAGCTTATTGGCCCAACAAGCCCAGAATCTATTAAGAAGTAAAAACAATCCGAAGGACCTCTCGAAAGGGCCTACGCAATCAAGAGCTGACGTTGCAAGAGCCCCACATTCCCCAGCCTGTGGCGTCTGAGGGAGAGCCTCCGAGCATATCGAAACGTATTCTCCCGACGCTCTACTCAGCTCACGCATGTTCTGCCTGCTGCAGGACCCGTCCACGAAAACATCTCCTTGAACCTCGCCCCGCTGAAGATTCGGATCTCCAAGGCCACACATATGGAACCCCCTTGTCCATCAGACCCAAGTTGAGGAAGGACGTCTCCCGGATGAAAGACAGGCTCTTAGTGAACAGCATGACCTCCTTAGTGTCTCCTGGATCGACAGATTCCGCCATCCTGAGCACGGTTTCGTCGATCAGACCGGCAGGCTCGGTGGAACAGGCGGGACAGACCCAGAGCCGATGCCAGACATTATCCGGATCGAGGCCGCGCAGATTACACCGACCCGATGGCAGCTCGCAGCCGAGGTCGATCGCGCGTTTCAAGATCGCGCCCTCAGCGCGATGATGACTGTAACATTTGTTCTCTTGTGGTCTTGGCGGTGATGATGGCGACGGCCGCGGTGATGCGTCGTTCAAAATGGATGCTCGTCAGTCGGCGTTGCAGGCGGGCCTGCGCGCCCAGCACAGCACGCCTTCAAATAATGACAAGCTGCCGCGCAACTCTTTCGACTCTCGGCGGCTATTTTTGGGGTCGCGGTGGCTCCAAATTGTGGTCCTGGGTGGATTCTTTGGTCGAGAGGGCCCCACAGTTGAGGGACTTGATGCAACCTTGTTCGGATCCAGGATATTTTTGATAAGCTAATCTGTCCTGAGTCCGCATCATAACAAACGTACTCTCAAACATCGTGTACTTTGCATGCTTCTCTCCCCGGGTGCCGGAGGACCCCATCCTTCAAGATCTGCTTGACAGCATTGGGCGAGCACGTCGCGAGTAGGATCCCCTCTTGAACATCGTTCGCCAATGTCTCGCAAACGCTCGTGCTCCACCCGATCCTCCCGAGACTCGCTCGCACTGTCGAGGGGGGCCCCGTGTCTCGCCTCCACTGGATCTGGGACACTGGAGCATCGAATCGAAAACCGAATGTCCAGCACCCCGTAGAAACTTGAAAGAAATGGGCGCGTCCGACGATGTAGTCTGGTTTGCGAGAACTTCCTTCGCGTATCTGACCACTGGTGAGACAATTCCGAACCTCGTGGGATCTGACTCCAGCGACAGCAAAGAAGTGACAAAACGCACGCCCGGCACTTGTACGCAACGCGCTGCCGACATTGCGACGGGTGGATGCCAGCTCAAAATCACACGCACCGTGCATTTCAGTTCAATAGTTGCGGTAGACCCGATAACCGATAACGGATGTTCGTTAAAACAACTTCATGAGCCTGCGACGGGGGGGAATTTATTTTTAATCTCTGGGCCCGCTTCCGAAGAGCATCCCTTTTTTCCTTAGCCACCTTGCCCCGGCAACCGCGGCGACGACTTTTCGTTTCGGCGACGAGCGAGGGGGTGATGCGAGAGGAAGAAAGCCTTCTCAGAAGGTTTGGAAGTCCTTCGGCCTGCGAGAAGGTCTACGTTTTCCCAGGACAAGCAAAACCTTCTCAGAAGGCGCGAGGGCTTCTGAGGAGTCCCGCCGCCTTCTGAAAAGGGCCTTCTCCTTCTCGCTTCCCCCCCTCGCTTGCCGCCGATCCTTGCGGCGTCATCCGTTTCGGGATTCCTGGCCGATTCTTCGAAGACGGTTCCGTTGTAGTCGCCGAAAGGTTGCCTTATGGATTCCACAGGCGTGGAAGACGAGCGCAGCGACGAAACCTTGCCCTTTGTCGCGACACATGTCACGTCGTCGGCTCAGCCCGCGTCAAACAGGGGTGGGATCTCGATCGTCTTTCTGGTGCCTTTTTGTGGCGCCCTGTGGCTGACGTACCATAGGCGTCCATCTATATGTCGAGCGATGTGGGCATCGAGCACCGGTCGATAGTCGGGGCCGCGCAGATTCCGATGCACGGCGCAGCCATCGCCCATCCCGCGACCGCCCCGCTTCTGGCGAAGAACGGGCCCCTCGCCATACCCCCCATCATGGCCCCGGGACCATTGCAGGCCTGCGCGCTGAGAGCGTGCGTTCGCCGAGAGAAATCCCGGACATCGCGCTTGCTCTCCAGTTTTGAGTGGCCGGCGTTCGCGTGGAATTTCTGCAAATCCCACAGGGCGGCGCAATCGTGCTCTTCGGCTCTAGACGAGTCGGGCTTGAAATGTGCAGCCTCTTCGGAGCGGATAGCTCTGATCCAGCTGGCGCGTGGCGCTGCGGGGAAAAGCGAACTTGAATGGTCGGGCCTCGGGAGGTTTGAGGCGCGCCCGCGGCGAGAGCCGTCTATCGACGCGGCCGATCTGTCAGCGAGTGTCTTCGATATTTCGCGGATGCGGTCCGGGGTGGTGGACGGCGCGTTCTCGGCTTTTCAAGCAAGGGGAGGTGTCGGCCACCTTGCTCAGGTGGGGGCGCGGGCCTGCCAGCGCAACCCCGTTCGCTGATAGAGCGCTGATACAGTGCCGCTTTAAATACATGCTCCGCGTGCGGATCATGTCTTAAAAACGCAGAGATTTAGAATGAAAAAAACGATGAGTTCATGCATACACTTGTTTATACATTAGCTATGTATTTAAATCCTGATCTTTTAAACGTTCCTATGTGTTAAAAACCTGCCCTGTATGGGGCCCGGGCCGCGGGGGCCCTCGCCCGCGAGTTGGCCCGGCCAGGTCCGTTCTGAGGGCCATCTCGACGCTGGGACTTCCGGGACTGGTGGGGCTCGGTCGCCTCCTCCTCCGCCTCCTCCTCCTCCTCCTCGTGCTCCTCCTCCTCCTCCTCCTCCTCCTCCTCGTGCTCCTCCTCCTCCTCCTCCTCCTCCTCCTCGTGCTCCTGCTCCTCGGTCCTGGGACTTCCAGGACTGGTGAGGCTCGGTCAGGATCGGAGGGCCCCACCTATGCACCAACACCGATCCTGGCCCAGGATCACCCTGGGCCCAGGATCGGTGTATATGCCTTCTTGCGCAAGGCAGGAGGGCGTATACACCGATCCTGGGCTCAGGGTGATCCTGGCCAGGATCGGTGTTGGTGTATAGTTGGGGCCTTCCTACAGGAGGGGACTTCCAGGACTGGTGACTTCCAGGACTGGTGAGACTCGGTCAGGAGGGAAAAACACAGACACAATGAATCGTCGATCCGCAGATAGTCGCAGGTGAGGGGGTGAGATCGAAGTGGAACGGAGAGCCCTCCTACCGGGAAATCGATTTCGGTTTCGTGTTCGTGCGTGCCGTGCGTGCGGGCGAGGCGAAGCTGCGTGGGCGGGCGAGAAGAAAGTCTCCTGTGGCTGAGGCGCGGCCGGACCAATTAATCGTCGATTCACAGAGAATATAAGAAAATATGGGAAATGTGGGGAAGACAAAAACACAGAACAGATGAGAACATATGGGGAATCTTTTTATGTGTGTATTTATTTGTGTGTCCCAGGGCCCCTTCACTCGATGCGAGCCTTGAGGGAATGCGCCCCAAGGGCTTCTGAGACCTTCAAAACCGAACGCCCATGCCCCAGCTCCAGATTGCCCATGGAACAGACCTTCGAAGAACCACTTCTGCACGCCCCACGAAGGTCTTGCATGTCCTCGCGGAGCTCCCTGAAATCCCCCATGCGGTCAGAAATGCACGGGGTTTGGATGGCGCATGGCAGCTCTGGCTGCCCTGGCCTGCGCGCTGGTGGCGATGCTGCCCACATTCGCAACTTGGATGAATCGCGGATTGCAAAAAAACGAAGGATTGCAAAAAAACGAATGATTGCAACAAAAACGAAGGATTGCAAAAAAAACGAAGGATTGCAAAACAGATTTTTTTGCAATCCTTCGTTTTTTTGCAATCCTTCGAATGAAGACTCCCACCGTTTTTGCGGCTGCTGACGCAGCGTTGCGGCCGCCGAAATTTTCGCTTTTCCGGCCCGAGTCTGGGGCGGACCTCCGCGCGAGTTCTGGGTTCGCCGACCTCGCGCGCCCGATGTCGGGCGGAAGACCTCTCTTCCTCCTCCTCCTCCTCCTCCTCCTCCTCCTCCTCCTCGTCCTCCTCCTCCTCCTCCTCTTCCTCCTCCTCCTGCTCCTCCTCCTCCTCCTCCTCCTCCTGCTCCTCCTCCTGCTCCTCCTCCTGCTCCTCCCCCCCCCCTCCTCCTCGGGGCCCTCCCTAGCGATTCTGAGCGAGTCCCTCTCCCGATCGGCGGGCCCGAAGTGTGCGCGACACGCACGTCCTTGCGCGGATTTCCGTCGAACCCCTTCTCTGGGCCAGCCCCGCGCCGCGCGGCGCGCAGTCTAACGCATCGCCCCAGTGTGGTTCGTTTGGCAGAGGTCCAACTTGCAGATCGACCGTGGGAGGCGGAGGCTTAGCAACGGTGAGGTGTTGCAGCTGGGCGTGGGAGAGGGTGCAGCTTCACTTGTGCCGACTGGTGAGGCTTCCACTGCTTTCAAGCGCAAGCCTTGTGTTCTGGGTGCCTTTTCTGCGGCTGCCTGAGATCGCCATGCAGTCAGAGTGCCCGGCGCCCTCCCTGGGCGCCGATGCACGAGTTCCCTGCGCGCTAGGGCGCAGCAGCACTGCCGAAACTCTGCGAAAGTTGGCTGGATGATTGGAGAGGCCTGACGGCCGGTGCCGCCGACCCTGATCGAAAGGGCTAGGAGTGAGGGGAGGAAGCGGAGCATGAGGGCATGAGGAGGAGGAGGAGGAGGAGCAGGAGGAGGAGGAGGAGCAGGAGGAGGAGGAGGAGGAGGATGAGGAGCGGAAGTTGGCTGGATGATTTCCCTCCTTCGGCTCCAGACCGAAAAGTCTCTGCCCGCGACGCGAGGCGCCCCTAATGCCTTGGACTGGAGAGGCCCCGCCGCAGAGCCGCGAGTCTGGGGGCTCTCCGTGGATATGCCGCCACCATCGCGCAAGTAGAGCGACGCGCGGAGATGCGCCCCCCGCCCGCCCCTAATGCCTTGGACTGGAGACCCCGCCGCAGCTGCGAGTTTGGGGCTCTCCGTGGATATGCCGCCGCCATCACGCAAGTACAGCCAGGGCCCTGAAGAAGGAACCTTTTCCGTTGGGGAGGGGCTCGGTGTTCCGTGACTGTTCTACGGTTTGCTTTCTGTTTTCCTGAGGTTTCCCATGGGAAGTCGAAGCTCAATTTATCGGAGGAAGGGGCCCCGTTCCTTATTTAGGGTTCTTTAGGTCAACGCCCCGACTGTAGAGCGACGCGCGGAGATGCGCCCCCCGCCCCCCGCCGCCCGCGCCCCCAGGAATCTGCACCCAACGAGCCGCCGCTCTGGCAGCCGCAAGTTTGGGGTTCTCCGTGGACAGACCGTCGCCGTCACGCAAGTATAGCAACGCGCGGAGATGCGCCCCCCGCCCCCCGCCCGCGCCCCCCAGGAATCTGCGCCCGACGCGCCGCCGCTCTGGCAGGGAACGTCGCGGGGCCCCCAGTTATATGTCATATGCGCTGCGCGATTGCCTCGGGCGAGCGTGCCGACTCTTCCGGGCGTCCCTGAGCGGGCCCACGCCCGAGTCTGCGGGGATGGAGCTGCGCCTCCAACCTTGCTTGCTGGCCCAAGTCGAGGCCTCGGCAATATGGCCCCGGCGGGCCAGGCGGTGTTCCTCAAAGGGGGAAAATGCGCGCTGCAGTCTTCTGCAGCTATGTTTTCGCTGAGCCCCACGAGGATAAATTGGCCGTCTCCACGAACAACTCGAACTTCTGAGGTCCTTGGCCTGGTAGCGACCTAACGAAAACTCTCGAAGGCCCTGTGCTATGCTCTCGGGGTGCGGCATTCGGCAAAGCCGCGGTAAACCAATATGTTTTCAATTCACAGAAGAGGGCGCTTCCTTTCCTTCCCCCGATCCCTTGGCACTTTCTTGCTCGAGCTGGGGGGCTGCCTTGGCTTTGAGAGCGGCTTTGGAAGCGGGGGGGGGTCCCTGGGCCGCTTGTCCAGGGCCAGTTTTGCACGAGTACTAATTTCAGGAGCATTCTCAGAAGCCGTCGCATTGGGGAGCGCCGATATCCCTAACAGAGCCGAACCTGACCCAGAACCTGACGATCCCCCGGCACCCGGCTTATACTGCTCAACGTTGTCGTTGCCTGGAATTGCCGTGCCCGCGTCTCCTGTCCTGCGCTGCTTTTTGGCCAAACCTGATGATGTGGGCTTGATGCGTAGTGCGGTTGTTTTTGAGATTACCCGTCGCACCGCCGAACAAAATTCATATAGCTCTTCGGACCCTGCATTGAAATCGGGGTTATGTTTCTCGAGCTGGTCTTTATCTTCCTTGTTGAGTTCGAGCTCGGCATCGCTGAGACCGAAAAGTCCGTCCACGTCGCAGGAAGGTAGCGCCGCCTTGCCGTTGAACACTTCACTGAGGCGCAGCACGATGCCGCTGCCTCGTGGGTGCTCTGCATTGGCATGAGGAGGGTCCACTGACGGACTACGTTCTCGAGCCAATTTGTCGTGTTCGTCGTCGTTTGCGTCGAGCTCCGCCGAGAACGTGCCAAATTTCTTCAGCTGCTCCGCGACCTTTGTCCGTCCAACGGTGCAAGTGACCCATTGCCTTGCGCAGTGTACGCTCGCTCCCCACAATTTCGGTATGCCGTGGCCACACGCGTTTGAAGAGGCTTTGAGCTGATTCGGCACTGGCTGACTGAAGACGACCTTGTGCCCATTAGTAGTGGGCAACACTGGACTGGTCTCTGACCTTGCCGCCGAGGCTGATGATCAGAGCGATCTCCTGCTCCGACAGCTCCGTCCCTTCACGCGAGACTGATGGAATAGCGCCAGGCCTGAGGGAAGAGTTCGTCTTCGAGGGGGCGGGGAAGGAGAGAGAAAAGCAAAAGCCAGCGGGGAAGAGGATCATGATGGGTTCTATACATAGGATGAGCTAGCTGTGGTTCGGAAGCTTCCCATTCGAGCAAGTTTGTTTGCCTTCCTGTCGCGCTTCACGGAAGCGCTCCACGCAAAGCACCAGCGGAAAGGTTACGCCGTTGCCTGTGACGAGGGGTGGTGGGCAGGGTTGAGGAGGGTGGACATAGAGAGGAAGAGGCTGGGCATGGGCGAGGGAAGAGCGGCAGGGGGTGGACGATGAGGAGAACATGTAGAGAATGCGATCCAAGCCCTGCCCACATCGGGCAGAGCGGAGGCCCGCCCCCTGTGGAACAGACGCTTGAGACTCGCCCGGTGGTCGACCAGCTCGCTGGCCTCGACGCTGACATGTTGGTCCCTGTTCTCGTCGAGCAGGACCTGCAGCCGCTGCATGTCCGTCTTGACCGCCGCGTTCAACCTGCACGACACCGTGCGCCCTTCGAGGCCGTGGGCCTCTGGGCATTGTTGGGGCCGTCTTTCGTGACGATCTCGTCATCGTCGTCGCCTGCGCCCTCGCAGCCCGCCCGCATCGCGGTGTCCAGCTTCGCCGCCGGACATGTGCAAGCGTTCCTGGCCATGTTATTGGCGAGCGGCGCGCGGCAATTGGCGCCAGCCCCGGACGCGGCGATGGCTCAGTTCCTCCTCTTTGCTTCTGTGATACAATTTTCTGTCGGATCGGTAACATCCGCGACGCCATATGATATGGATGGGACGCTCGAGAATCGCTTCAGTGGTTCAGGACGAAGGGGAGGGGGGATTGATAACGAGGATGAGGGCAGCAGAGGTGGAGGGAAAGATGAGCAGCCTTCGGCGTGCAGCTGCTGGCGTACACGGATACGAAGCGCGAGCAAGCGGCATGCTTGTATTTGTATGACGCGCACGCCAAGAGCTTTTTCGAGATGGAGTTGGGAGGATTGGACGCACGAATCTTCTTCTGAAGGCAAGTGAAGGCATTCCAAAGCAATCTGATCAAGAGTGCTACCCAGAAGAGAAAAGAAGAGATGAGGAGAGATGGGGGGAGGAGTGGGACGAGGAGGCGGAGGAGGTGAATGAGGGGAAGTGGCGCAGGTGGAGGAAGGGAGGGGCCAGTCGGTGCGTTTCCTGTTCTGCCCCCCGCTTCCGCCTTTCTCCCTTATGACACGCTCCTCGCCGTACCGCTGGGCGTGTTGGTATGCATAGCGATCTTGCCACGCCGCTGAACAATTCTCAACTACCTGTGGTCTTGATGCTTGACTTGTCCGGGAGTTGCATTGTAGAGGGCGGCGCGGATTCAGGGGAAATCCATGCCAAGAAACACTCCGCTTGCCTCCAGGGTGCCCTGCGTTTCTTGGGTGTCGATGGTTGTTTCTATGGGAACCGTGGCGGTCCCGCACCAAACACCAATGGACGTCCTGGGGTCTCGGGGTTGGGCTTCTTGCGGAAGCTTCCTTGCGGTCGAGCTCCTATGTTATTCCAGATGTGTCTCTCGCCTCAGCTCCGCGCCGGTCCGCAGCAACAGCTCTCAGCCGCCACACGGGGGGAGGGCGGCTCTCGGCAAAGAGGGGGAGTCGATTCGATGCGAGGCATCGCGCACACTAGGCATTGAGAGCTTGAATCCTTTGCGCGGGCGGAAGGCGGTTCGTTCTTTCAACAGGTGTATCTCATCTTGTCGCCGCTCACATTCGTCCTAGTCTCGAGGCGTCCAAGTCCCGAGCTTTCCCGAGCCCCCCTCCCCGCGGTGCGGAGAGACACGCTATCCGCTGGCAGGGCATAGCGTGTCGCCGTGGCCGCCGCGGCGACCCGCTAAGCAAAAGCTCCTGATCCTAAACGCATGGTTCGGGCAGCTTCACGGATGGAGGGCGGTACGCTTTTAACATCGGGTTCTCGTTTGACATGTCCTCAGGGTTCGCCTTTCATGGGAGCATTCCTTGTTGTGAAAAGGCACAAGTGAAGTGAGTTACGACAAGGTGTCTGGAGACGGGCGGGTGTTTTTCCGCATCGTTGAATCATCTTGATATTGCTGCTGTCCTCATCCTGTTTCTCCTCTAGTGGCCCCCCCGAACCCTATCACAGCCCACGAGAAGCTGCAGCTGACCCTCATCCGACCACGTGTGTCCCTCCCTTATCCTCCTCTGTCGATCGCCAGTGTCTCCTTTAGAAAGCTCATCCGCTCAGCAGCTACTCCAGATTTCGTAATAAAAGGGAGGGGGTCTGGACCCTCCAAGACAAGCCATTTCAGACCTCCCCCGTGGGAGAACCCTCCAAAACATCGTCCCCAGACCCCCCAGGCCCTCCGAGATAGCCTGGAAGAGACCCCCCCCGAAATGAGACCCCCCTCCCTTTATTACGAAATCTGGAGTATCCATCAGATGATGTGTGACATAGCGACGTGCGTGGGCCAACACCAGACTGTCGCGTGAGTGTCCGCAATCGGCAGGCATGTTTCCTAGAAGCACTCTTGGCCGACGAAGGTATTCCTCCCGCTCTGCCCCGCCCTCCCTCCTCCCCACTCCCTCCCTCCCTCCTGCCTCCCACCTTCCTTCTTCCCTCCCTCTCACCCTCCTCCCTCCCTCCCGCCCTCCTCCCCCTCCCTCTCGCCCGCCCCCTTCCCCCTCTCGCCCCTCCCCCTCCCCCTCCCCCTCCCTCCTTGCCGCCCCCTCCTCTCGCCCTCTCCCGCGTGCGCTTCCCCGTCCGCCCCCCTTCCCCTCCCACTTCCTTCCTCCTCAGCCCCCACTCTCTCCCGCCCCCCTCCCCCGTCGACCCCCCCGTCGACCCTCCCCCCCCAGGAGTGCCTGAGCATCCAGCCCGGCAGCTCCGAGACGCTCGCGCAGCGGGGCAAGCTCGTCCTCGCGGACCTGGCCGGGTCCGACGGCGCCTCCGAGCCCGGCGCTCTGGCTGGGCGGCGGGCGCGATGCTGTCGTCGTCGGCGTCGGCGGCATCGTCGTCGGCGGCGTCGTCGTCGTCTTTGGCGCCGTCGTCGCCGTCGTCGTCGTCGTCGTCGTTGTCGTCGTTTTCGTCGCCGCCGTCGTCGTCGTCGTCGTCGTCGTCGTCGTCGTCGTCGTCGTCGTCGTCGTCGTCGTCGTCGTCGTTGGCGTCGTCGGCGGCGGCGGCGCCGTCGTCGTCTTTGGCGGCGTCGTCGTCGTCGTCGTCGGCTCGTCGCTGACGTCGTCGTCGCGGTGCGAGGTCGTCCTCACTGGCGGAGAAGCCTCCGACGTCTCGCCGGACGGCTTCCCGCCGGGGACCCCTTTCAGCGCCGACCGCAGCAGCTTCGAGCTGTAGTTAAGTCGCGTGGTTCTGAGAAACCCCGCCGCCTTCTGAGAAGGCCTTCTCCCTCTCACTCCCCCCCTGGCTCGCCGCCGATAAGAAAATTATTTCCATTCGAGAAAATGGGGAAACCAAAAGGTACCCATACCGCTACTTCCCAGACCTATCCCGGAGGCGAGTCCAGCCGTGGCGACGAGGGCCTCCCAGGAGGCCCATAGAGGCGAAGACAAGGGAAGGGGAGCGGTTCCCGTCGGTCGTTGAAAGTAGGCATTTTTGGGCTCCCAGATCCAAATCTATTTCTAGTGCCTTCCTACTTCAAGAATCGGCATGCTTTTTCTCTGTGTTATGGTATCCTCGATGAGGGCCTGACCCAATCTACCTCATCAGCTTTCCTACTGCATGTCTTACCTACTTCTTTCGACCGACGTGTACGGATACCGTTTCCCCCCTCGATCTCCAGAACAAAGTATCGTCTTATGATGTTCCAACCTACTTTAGCTTTGTTCACCCGGAAGAATTTCGAGCACCAAGAAAGCACCGAAACTTGAGGGTTTTCACGTGTCGGGCCCTGGGGGGCGATATTCGTTCCGTTTCGATACTTCTCGGGGTGCTCGAAATTGATTATGCGATGTGGTCCTGAAGTACGATTGGAGCAACATAACTCCGTCTGAGCCCAATCTACCTTATTCGCCTATCGACTTCACGTTTTTATCTACTTCTCCCGACCGACGTTTATGGGTACCTTTTCCTCGGCGGCGAGTGAGGGGCGGAAGTGCGAGACGGCCTTCTCAGAAGGTTCGGAAATCTCCAGCCTATTGAGAAGTTGTCAGAGCCTTCCCCGAAGACCAGAAAGACTTCTCAGAAGGCGCGAGGGCTTCTGAGGCGTCCCGCTGCCTTCTGAGAAAGCCTTCTCCTCCTCCTCTTCCTCCTCTTCCATTCTTTCTCCTTATAAACTTCTCCCTGTCGCACCCCGAGGCCAGTGTTTAGGGCGGGCTGGGCGTTTTGCCTGAGACTGCCTCTTTATGACCTTGACGCTTGAAATCTGACAGCAGTTTCACAGATGGAGGGCGGGTGGTTTTCAAAAGGTGGCTCTCTTCTTAGCGCCGCGCACATTCGTTTTCAAAATGTGCAAGAGCTTCACGGATTGAGGGCGGGCCGTTTCCAAAATGCGGTTCTCGCCTGAGCGCCGCGCGCATTCGTGTTTGAAAATTTGCAAGAGTTTCACGGATTGAGGGCAGGTAGTTTTCAACATGTGGTTCTCGCCTTCAAATTTTGTCAGAGCTTCACGGTTTGAGGGCAGGTCCTTTTCAACATGTGGTTCTCGCTTTGGCGCCTCGCACATTCGTGTTCAAAACTTGCAAGAGCTCCACAGATGAAGGGCGGTTCCTTTTCAATATATGGTTCTCGCTTTAGCGCCGCGCACAGTCGTGTTTCAATATTTGCAAGAGTTTCACGGATTGATGGCGGTTCTTTTTCAACATGTGGCTCTCGCTGTAGCGCCGCGCATATTCGTGTTAACAAAATGCACGAGTTTCATGGATTCCCATGATCGGCGTACTTGGAATGGCGTTTTGGAAATATTCACGATTATTAGGGCGCAACGCTTACAATGATTCGCGGTGTTGACGTCCCAGGAATGGCGTTCTGGCACGGTTCAGGATTGTCAAGACGCAAAAGTCAGGTTTATTCGTGGCGTTGGAATACCGAGAATCATGTTTTGGCACGCTCAGGGTCGTCAAACGGATGTCTCAGGCCAACGAGGCAGGTCCCTCTGTGGAAGTGAGCCGTTGCAGGTGCCCATTGAAGAGGGAGCTTGGGGGGGCGCGTTTACTCCAACATCATTGGTGACTCTTGCATTGGGGACTCTTGGGCTTACACTGGTCCTCCTCCTCCTCCTCCGCCGATGTTCCCCCTCTCCTCCTCCTCCTCCTCCTCCTCCTCCTCCTCCTCCTCTCTCCTCCTCCCCCTCCTCCTCCTCCTCCTCCCTCCTCCTCCTCCTCCCCCCTCCCTCCTCCTCCCCCGCCGATGTCCCCCTCTCCAGAAGAGCCCCTCGCCGTGCGCCGTGCGCACGGCGCCGCCGGCGCCGCCGGGCCGAGGCCGCGGGGCGACGACGAGGGCCTCCTGCGGCGGCGCGCCGCCCTCGAGCGGGCCTTCGCGGCCGTCGGCGCGGCCGCCAGCGGCGCGCCCGGGGGCTCCGAAGCCGCCGCCGCCGCCGTCCGCGTCGCGTCCGGAGGGGGAGGGGGAGGAGGAGGAGGAGGAGGAGAGGGAGGAGGAGGAGGAGGAGGAGGAGGAGGAGGAGCATGTTCTCCTCAAGCAGTGGCGAAGCGTCCTGGCTCGCCTACCAAAGAATGTTCTAAGCGCCCGGGGGCTCCGAAGCCGCCGCCGCCGTGCCGTCCGCGTCGTGCCTCTCCTCATACGGGGCGTGAAAACGACCACAGCCACTGCTTTTCTTTTGTTGCCGCCTTCCAGCCCGCAGAAACAAAGCAGTGGTTGTGGTCATTTTCGTTGAGCTTGGCACCAGGGAAATGACCACAACCACTGCTTCTTTTCCGGCCGGCTAGAAGGCGGCGCAGACAAGAAGCAGTGGCTGTGGTCATTTCCCCGTCCCGCACCTCAAGCAGTGGCGAAGCGTCCTGTCTCGCCAACAGGCCTACCAAAGAATGTTCTAAGATGTTATTGTGGTTTGCGCGACATGTCCTTGGAGCAGTTCTGGTTGAGGCTGTTTTGTTTTGACACATCGGGCCAATGTTCTAAGAGCATTGTGTTTGTTCTTAGAACGTTGTTGGGTTCTAAGAACATGTCGTGGTAGGACTATACAGTCGGGGCGCTGAAGAAGGAATCCTTCTCGTTGGGGAGGGGCTCGGTGTTCCTCGATTGTTTTACAGCTTGCCTCAGGCTTTCCTGAGGTCTTCCATGGGAAACAGAAGTAGAACTTGTGGCAAAAAGGGGCCTCGTTCCTTACTTAGGGTTCCTTGGGTAAACGCCCAGACTGTAGGACTGCCAGGATTGTCGGTCCCTGCTCAACCTCCCCCATGGCCCTCTCGCGAGGGGTAAAAAAACAGAGGCGGGAGGCGATTCGCTGTTTTTTCGGCCTCTGGGGGGCCCTCGCCGAGGCCTCGGGGCCCTCTAGGAACGGCTCGGGAGGGAGAGCCGGCTTCCGGGGAAGGGGGCCCGACCTCTGGGGGTCGACGTCGTGAGCAGCAAGGCACGGCGGCTGGGGTCTGGGCCCTGAGCTCCGAGGAGGAGGGCGCATCCATGCCGCGACCCGAGGGGGAAAGAGGCATCCATACCGCTGCTCTTTGCTGTCGCCTTCTCTCTCTCTCTCTCTCTTACGTTACTGCCAGCTCCTCGTCCTCGTCCTCGTCCTTTTCCTTCTCCTCTTCCTCCTCCTCCTCTTCATCCTCCTGCTCCCCCTCTTCCTCCTGCTGCTGTACCGCTGCTCTGTGCTGTCGCCTTCTCTCTCTCTCTCTCTTTCTCTCTTTTTTTGGGGGGGCCTTCTCGGAGGCCCTCCCTCGTCGCCGCCGACGGATCCGCTTCAAAAGCCTGGTCAGAACGCACCGCGGGAGAGGTCCCGGGAGTGGCGGCATGCGTACCTGTTGGTTTCCGCGCTGGAGCGCCCGTAGGAGGCGGGGGGGGGGGGAGGAAGGGGAGGACGGGGGGGATAGGGAAGTGGAAGGAGGGGGAGGAGGGGGCGGCCCTCCCCATCTCTTGTGCCTTTGCTCCTCCTCATCCTCCTCTTCTTGCCGACGAGTCGGTGGCCAGGCTACAGGCCAGCAGCCATAATATGACGCAGTTGTCAAGAGTTGTTCCGTCAGTAGAACTGGCGGCCCCTCAGCGCCATTACGTTACTTCCAGCTCCTCGTCCTCCTTTTCCTTCTCCTCTTCCTCCTCCTCCTCCTCTTCTTCATCCTCCTGCTCCACCTCTTCCTCCTGCTGCTGTTCCGCCTCCGCCTCCTCCTCCTCCTCCTCCTCCTCCTCCTCCTCCTCCTCCTCCTCCTCCTCCCCCTCTCCACCTTCAGTAGCCATTCTGGCTCAAGCCATTTTGGTTCAAGCCGTTCTGCGCCCAAGGGATTCTGCAGGCATCCGGTTCAGACAGAGCGGTGTCTGCTGGTCCATTTGGTTTCGCCCTGCAGTCTTTCTTCCACTTCCAATGCGCCATGTGGGTTGGGCTTCGTGGAGAGGTTCTCCGCAGTCGCAGCCAGCCTGGTCGGGCACCTGCCCGTGGCACTACAGTCGGGGCCCTGAGGAAGGAACCCTTTTCGTTGGGGAGGGGCTCGGTGTTCCTTAGTTTTTTTGCAGTTCGCCTTTGGTTTTGCTTAGGGTTTCGATGCGAAATCGAAGTTTAACTTGTGGGAAAAAAGGGGCCTCGTTCCTTATTTAGGGTTCCTTAGGTCAACGCCCCGACTGTACCAGCAGCAGGGTCAGTACATCTACATGGGGCAACAAGCGCAGAGACCGTCAGGGAAGCGGAAGTGCTGTGCCTGCGGTTGCCGGAAGAAGGGCGGTGCAAGCAACGTTCGCGAGCCCTGCGGCTCAGCTCGGGCTCGGACCCGCCCGGCACCGCTTCCTCGGCCACGAGGGGTTGCCCACCAGCGTGAGATTGTCTCCTCCTGGCCAGTGGCAGCCTCGTGACTTGCAGCCAGGGGTCCGGCTTCTGGCAGACGGTGGCGGTGGCACCGCTGTTGCGTCCACGGGGCCGCGCGGTTCCAAGAACTTGCAGCTCGGCGTCGCTGCTGCCAAAGGGACCGGGACATGGCCACGGTCGAGCGTTACCGGGCCAAGCTGGACGCCATGGCCGCCACAGTGCCCACGGTCGCCCCCAAGCTTCTGTAGGAGCAGGTCAACGACTTGCACTGGCAGATGGGGAAGCTCGACACGTGCACGGAGGTTGAGCTCGGGAAGTTCAAGAAATATCAGGAGAGCCTTGCTCGTCAAGATTCTCTCTTAGGTGTACGCTGCGTGACATGGTGGTGCAAGTTATGTGGTGTAAGGTATGTGGTGCACTGTTCGTGGTGTAGGCGGTGTGTTGCGTAATACCACGCATGGGGCCAAACCCTGCGACGTACCATGCTTGTGCACCCTCCTCTTGCTTGGTTTCTCGTTTCGAGCGGAGCGCTGCTGAGCTCCATTTTTTTTCTCCCACCCATCCACTTCCTCCGCCTTCTTCCCCTGGCCCTGGAGGAGGAGGAGGAGGAGGAGGAGGAGGAGGAGGAGGAGGAGGAGGAGGAGGAGGGGGAGGAGGGGGAGGAGGGGGGGAGGAGGAGGAGGAGGGGGAGGAGGAGGAGGAGGAGGAGGAGGAGGAGGAGGAGAGGAGGAGGAGGAGGAGGAGGAGGAGGAGGAGGCTCAGGCACCTGCCTCACGGGAGGGCCTCTCGGGCGCACCCCGCGCCCGCGGCGGGCCGTGGAGTGGGCGGGCGGTTCTGCGACGGCCACGGCGGCCCGGCTCGGCTGGATTCGAAGGCAGGTCTCCCTGGGAGCAGCGCATCTGCATCAGAGCCCCGAATCATCAGGGGTAACTCGGGTCAGGGCTAACTCGGGTTCGTTTTTCGGGAAGCCGAACCCGACATACCTCGGACCCGAGCTACCCCGGACAATTCGGGCGTCCAGAGCCCCACATCATCAGGGGTAACTCGGGTCAGGGCTAACTCGGGTTCGTTTTTCGGGAATCCGAACCCGACATACCTCGGACCCGAGCTACCCCGGATAATTCGGGCGTCCAGAGCCCCACATCATCGGGGTAATCGGGTCAGGGCTAACTCGGGTTCGTTTTTCGGGAATCCGAACCCGACATACCTCGGACCCGAGCTACCCCGGATAATTCGGGCGTCCAGAGCCCCACATCATCAGGGGTAACTCGGGTCAGGGCTAACTCGGGTTCGTTTTTCGGGAATCCGAACCCGACATACCTCGGACCCGAGCTACCCCGGATAATTCGGGCGTCCAGAGCCCCACATCATCAGGGGTAACTCGGGTCAGGGCTAACTCGGGTTCGTTTTTCGGGAATCCGAACCCGACATACCTCGGACCCGAGCTACCCCGGATAATTCGGGCGTCCAGAGCCCCACATCATCAGGGGTAACTCGGGTCAGGGCTAAGTCGGGTTCGTTTTTCGGGAATCCGAACCCGACATACCCGGACCCGAGCTACCCCGGATAATTCGGGCGTCCAGAGCCCCACATCATCAGGGGTAACTCGGGTCAGGGCTAACTCGGGTTCGTTTTTCGGGAATCCGAACCCGACATACCTCGGACCCGAGCTACCCCGGATAATTCGGGCGTCCAGAGCCCCACATCATCAGGGGTAACTCGGGTCAGGGCTTTCTCGGGTTCCTTTTTTTCGGGAATCCAAACCCGAGTTGCCCCGGACCCGAGTTACCCCGGATAACTCGGGCGCCCAACTACATTGCCTCGACGCGCCGCTCGTCGCTTCCAGGGCGCTCGGCGATTACAGTCGGGGCGCTGAAGAAGGAACCTTTTTTGTTTGGGAGGGGCTCAGTGTTCCTTAGTTGTTTTGTAGTTCGCCTTTGGTTTTCCTCAGGTTTTCGATGGGGAATCGAAGTTTAACTCATGGAAAAAAGGGGCCTCGTTCCTTACTCAGGGTTCCTTAGGTCAACGCCCCCTCTGTACGATGGAGCTCCTCACCGACGGCGTGCATGGTTCGCCCACGTCGCAGTCGGTGGCCCTGGAGGCCCTGGCGGGCACGTCGCGGCTCGGTCACCAGCACACTGCGATCGTCAAAACGTGTGTGTATTGGGCTCTCGCCCCGCTTCGATCGCCCTCCTGGAGGTGAACATCACGAAGATGGTTGGGACGGTGATGTGACGAACCAACAACACACACCCATACCCACTGGGGGATCGGAGAGGGCTATGGGTGCGTGTTGTCGGATAGGGGCCCCCGCTCGAACGGGAGCGTTCCCCAGGGTCCGACAACCCGCACCCATACCCATGGCCAGTCCTCCTCCCAACGACCTCCCTATGGGTATGGGTGTGTGTTGTTCGTTCGTCATGGTGGGCGACTTGACGACGGAGGTGGTGATCATCATCGCCGTGCCCGACGTGGTCGTGGCGCTCACCATTCCGCCCCTCCTGATCCGCGGCTCGACCCAGGGAGCGACCCATGGGCTGCGGCATGTCGGCACGGTGGTGGCGAGCCTCCACTCAGAGCGCCACGGCGGCATGGTGATGGCCGCCCAGCTCCTCCACAGATCTCGAAATTCCCCTTCGATGCGCTGGCGGCGGAACTCCACGGCGACATGGTGATGGCCGCCCAGCTCCTCCACAGATCTCGAAATTCCCCGTCGATGCGCTGGCGGCGGAGCTCCGTCCTGGAGCAGTTCGTGATGGCCACGCGGATGTGGATGCTCTGCTGTTGGCGGCACTCGGTGTGCACCCCCCCTTGTGGCGACGGTTCTGTGCACGGTGACGCTCGTGCTGGAGCCGATACCTGCTGCTGGCAGCGACCTCCGTGTGGAACATCGTGATTGTCCCACTGGTGGTGCAGATTATCCTGAGGAAGGAGGTTTTTTTTTGGTCTGCGGGGCGAGAGCGAACCGCTTCCGGTAAAAGCCAGGCGGGCTACGCACAGCTCTAATGGGGGAGACAGGGCCCAGGCGGGCGGGGCCTCAGGCGGCCAAAAGGGCGGGCCGGGGTGCAGGCGGTGCCGAGGAGCTTGCACCCTGAGGAAGGAGGTGGCGGTGCTCTTCCCGTGGAACCTGGCGAGGAGCTTGCACCCCGAGGAGGGAGGTGGCGGTGCTCCTCCCACGGAGCATGGTGCTGGCATCGGGCCCTTGCCGTGCAGCCTCGGCCCCGCCGGTCTCGGCCCGATCGGGCCTCGCTCCTGGCTTCGGCCCGGGGTGCGGCAGGCGCCGCGCGGCCAGTACGGCTTGCTAAGATTGGGGGGGAGCGCTCTGCGGGGGTGCCTGCGCGCAGAGCACGACGCCTTGGCCTTCTTTGTCTTGGCATCGCTCGGACGTGTGCTTTTTCTTATCGGCAGGGGCCGTCGAGGAGCATGTTTGTACACGCTGCGAAGAAGTACGCGCACGACACCGAAAAATGCGCAGGGAATGGACGTCCGAGCGATGGCCAGTTGTTGGCTGCTGGGCGCGGGTCGTTGACGGGTGCGAGTTGCGCCGGGTGCGCTCTGCGTCGGCCGTGTCGGCCATGGCGCAGCAGGCGGACACGGGGGTGTTGGGGCACGGTTGCGGGGAAGCTGCATCACCATCTCAGGATCCTGGTGTCGCACAAAGGGTCATGAGTGTAGTTTCCTATAAGGCGACGAGATCTATGCATATCCACTGCTCCTGGCCAGGCCAATCCTGGGCCAAGGAGCGGTGTATACGCCCTCCTGGCCTGGCCAGGGAGGCATATACACAGCTCCTGGGCCCAGGATGGGCCTGGCCAGGAGCAGTGGATATGCATAGATCTCGTCGCCCTATCCTATCGGCACGAATCGAAGTTGGTACGGAAAGAATGGGTACTAAGACCGACAGCAATTCCTGTCCACTTGAAGCAGGGTTCGCTGTCGGCGCTCCCTCGGACGGCGACCATTTGAGACAGAAGGTCGGTCGCCAAACAGTGGCCGCTGTTGGTTTGGGCCAACATCTGTTGATGGGAATTGTAACCCCTTTTCTCGTACCCATTTCGGGCGTCCAAGTATTCGAGTGCACGTAGTTGGTGCAACGATTGCACGCGTGACCTGCGCGTTCCCCCTCTTCTGCGGCTACGGCGGCCCCGTGGACACCCCAGATGTCAATGGCTGCTGCTTCGTGGCGGGCCTGGCATCCCTGAAGGGCCCCTTGACCCCCCCCCTCCGCCGAGGGCGGTGATTCGGCCCGTCGCTCAAGCGCTGGTGCGCCAAGGGTGCGGCGGCCGCGGCGGATGCTCTTGCAGGATCGCTCTCCCCCCCCAAGAACTTGGCATCGCTCGGACGTGTGCGTTTTGTTCTCGGCGAGGACCTTCGAGGAGCATCCTCGACCATCTGGCGAAAAAACCACGCACGAAACCGAGAAAAGCGCAGGAAATTGACGTCCGAGCGATGCCCAGAGAAACAAACGACAAGCTCCTCCTTCGCCAGGAGCGCCAGGAGCCACAGGACGAGCGCCAGGAGCCGCGCGACGCGGCCTTACCGATGCGGCCCCCCCCCGGCCCACGGGAGGCATG